ACAGAAAAAAAATAAAAGTAGGAAGCAGAGGGAATTTCTCTGTTTGGCGTATATTAAAACAGTTTTATTTTGGGAACATTTGTTTGATGCAACATTTGCTTAATGCAATATAGCTCAGAGTGATTAGAATGCGGTTGCATGCATACATCTATGGACTGCTGGATTATTATACTTCTTGGTTATTTCATTTATCTTGGAAACAGCCATGTAACACTTTACTCTTAACATCGAATACTTTGTTCTTACTCACCTTTGTTTGACAGCCCATATGCGCATATGGACAGGAAATTATACTTAATGGACATTCGTCTTCAGTGTGAGTTGAAACCTGAATCACATAAAACAAATCAATAAACTCACGAACGAAAGGGATAGAAATATTCGTTGAATATATTTTGCAAAATTAAACGTATCTAACGTTTGTAACCATGGTTGTTGCGCGTATCTCTTAGAGGTAGGGCAGCGTAGTTTTCAAAACAATCTGAAATTTCAAATAAGTTTTATCATTTTAAATCGCTGGGATTAACTTGATTTAATTTCCAAAGCAAATCGGACAAATTTGAAATCTTAGCTTGTAGCACTTTCACCACATTTGTGGCATACGGTGATCAAATTCATTTTGAAGATACTAACAAATTGATGAACAACGCATAAGTCTTTCTATATTTGAATTTGTTTCTTTTGAAGCTGAAAGAAAGATTTGTCTATTGGCTTACGAGCTCTTGATTACTTCATATACTGTATTAAAATTTTCCACGAGTAAATCTTATAGGTCACTTAATGATACGCTAGATCGTGGCAGTTTAAGCAATTCACTCAATTGTGATATATAGTTCTGGTTCTTGCTTCTGGGGTTAAAATTTTCCATCAATTACTCGTTGAGAAGGTGTTGATAGCGGTAGATGTCTACCGCTGTTTCATCAAACCTCGAAAAGTTATATAACAGACAGCGTTAACCATTGTAATGAGTGAAAATTGATTTGACAAAATATTTAATGCTCTCAATGATCTAGCTATGATGCCCTATTGAAGGATTTAAATTATGGGTGGGAGGGATAGTGAATATTAAGAATAAGAAATGTATTCAAACGGAATACGCAAAAGAAATAAGAAGTCTCACCATTCTTCTAGGAATTGAAAGACCACAGCTGTTTGGACAAGTTACTGGGAACCCGCTGCACTTTTGGATATGATCCTAATAACGAAAAATTCCATGAATTGCAGTAAGGAATCTGGAAATATTCCTTCATTTAAGCGTTAGTTTTTTCATTTCACTGCAGAAACCTAATTCATAGTTCAGTCCCACTTTTGTTTTATTTTTGCATCTACAAAATTCCATTAGATCTACAGGAATATGCAGGAAGTAAAGGGTAACCTAAAGCACTTTTGTTTTTCGGAAACAGAATGATTTGTTAGCAATTTTGATTATACTGTTAAATTTGTCAGAAACAGAATTTTGGTGTGAAATTTTCCTTTCTTAAGGTGTAGTGTTTTCACCGTTTAACTGACGATCTTACCTGCATTTGGCATTCTGGGTGGGGCTCGCTACAGTATTCACAGTAAAGGATTCTCCAGGGACACTCAGAAAGTTGGTGTTGTTCAAGATGTTTTCTTTGCACTTTTGCTCCACAGGAAAAATGGTCACACACCAAGAGCATGAAAGAACATGATTCTAGGTGAACCTATCAAACGAATAAAATAAAACCAGAGAAGGCGATTTCCATAGCTTATTCTGTGAAAATCCTACCACAGCGCATGGATAATGGATAAATAACTACATATTTCTGATAATTAGTGGAATTTGTATTAGTAAAGCTACCTCCTTGTTCCTCAGTTCCCCAGTCCATCCACAGCCGTCACTTGGACATTTGATTATGAATGAAAGAATTTTCCTTTCTGTAGCTTTGTCGGGAAAAACATCCTGCAACATGTATTACGATAGCCATTTTTTATTTAAAATAAATATGACCCGTCAAGTGATCGATGATAGTGATGAAGAACTCTATTAATCTGTCTGGTTGCTTGGAAGTTCTGCCAGAGTCATCACTAATATTAAAAGCTGGCATGCATATCGCATTAAGCATACTCACAATTATAACAGTGTAATAAAAGTCTGTCCTGATATGAGGATCTCAGCCGAACAAGATACCATGGAAATGCTAGACGGTCATTGTTATGAACTTCAGAAGGAGATTATTTACCCGGTCTTGGTCCAGACTCTGTCTGTCTGCCGGACAAATTATAGACTGACCTTCCCTTCGATGCCTGTTGGTGGTCGGAAAATAGGAAGAAAATTTCAGATAGTTAAAAATCTTTGATCCTTATTTCGTGTTGCTGCAGCAAATGTTCTGCTGATACACCATTATTTACTTTAGGTTTACGATTTACATTTTCTTTACTCATAGCTATCCATTACTGATTTAAAGGAAATACATAAACAATGACGATTTCAACACCAAAACTGATAAAATGGCATTGATATTTGGGGTTATATTTTCAATGGGGCTTCCAACCTCAATATCTTCTGCAAATATTCTTCTTAGCACCTTTAACTGTACTCTTACTTTGAATGTTTTATTGTCAATGGTACTTTCTCCCTCTTACACCCAATTAATTTGAAAGCAATAGAGAAATAAAGTCAAAACTGCACTTAAAAAAGACATAAAAAACACCGATGGTTAAAAGAACTACAAACTTTTGACCAAAAGCAGCAACGACAAAGCAAACAAAGCGAAAATAAAAATAAATAAAATAGATGAAGAAATAAAAAGGAAAGCATAAACAAATGATTCAAAGAAAAATTATCTTCATGAACGAGAATAATAAGAAAGAATCTTCAACAACAAAGATGCAAAATCACATTAACTCTTTAACTCCCATAAGTGACCAAGACAGAATTTCTCCTTACAATACTAATACAATATAAAGCAGACAAGTGACGAGAATAAAGAGAAATATCAGTTAGATCATTAGTTGATCCAATACCAAATTCTCAAAACTAACATCACAAGAACTATATGGCAGACAGTACGGAGAATTACTGATGAGATCTTGGGAGTTAAAGGGTTAAAGAATAAGTCTCACCTTTAAAAAAAAAGAACTTATGGAATGTAAACGTGAAAAGAAAGATACTGGATCATTTGTACCCAGATCCCATCCAAAACGGCCGTTTGTCACGATTTTGCCGGGGTAAAACATGATGAGGTCATACTTATTTCGCAAGGTATTTAAGATGTCTCTCAATGTTTTTGTTTGATGCAATGCAAATGAATTTCAGATTATTCTATCGTGTGGCGCGATATGATGCCAGGGAATAAATTGTGGTCTCGATTGTGGAACTGCACAGAATTTGCTTTTTTAGCAACTCCACTGCTTTGTTTAAACCTTAACTTCATCTTATAAGATATCATTGGATGTTATGCGTAAGATCAGGCAAATGAAAATACTTTCAACAACTCAGTCAAAAGACAAATTTATAAGCTAGGTGTCTTTGAGCAATAGTTGTTGTTATAACCACTGGCTCAATACACCTATAGTCACGGAAGAGTCATTCGATCTATGAATAACAAAACCGACGTGTTGTTAGCAGTTGCTAGCATTCAACCTGAATGATTTCAAAATATAAGACGACAGCGCCGTACATTGCGCAATTAGTTCATATGATTTCCGCTTTCGATTGTAAGGGTTATAACTCTTTGGAGAGAGAGTATTTCCTTAAGTAGTGCGGAAAATATCTCGCGTCACGCACTCGACAAAGGTAAAGGCATATTTCACAATAGGCTGAATAGGATTATATAAATTCAGCGCCACGTCAGAAATACCAGGCTTATTCTATTTTGCCAAACGAAACGAAACGTAACGAAAGTAGGCAAGATGTAACGAAACTAATGGAATAATACAGTGATATTTTCTTATAAGGTAAAGGTAGCTTTCACAAGGATTTTGGAGTAATCGTCAATTGATATGAAGGATTTTTATTCATTTCGCAAAGTAGTAATTTCGGTGACAACGTGACCTCTTTCATGTCACAAAAATACATTTAAATAATACAAATTAGTATATCACCAAAGATTTTGGCCTCCTCTTATTTCTTATTTCGCCAAGAAGTAATTTTAAGTGAGATACATTTTTGCCATATGGACTATTAGTCGATTTTGCAAAATAGTAACTCTTCGACGCCATACGTTGCGTAGTTAGTCCATTTGATTTTCGCTTTCGTAAGAGTTATAACTCTTTGGACAGAGAGTATTTCCTCAAATAGTGCGCAAAATGTATCGTGTCACGCACTCGAAAAAGTTAGAGGAATATTTTACAATTTCATGTTTCAATTAGAACTATAAATTCGGCGCCAATAAGAAATACCAGTATTAGCTTTAATTATTAAAGAGACCTTTACTGTTTGAACTTATGATATCGACTATATCAGCGATAAATTTCCTCTTGCTGGGTGGAATAAAAGTTTTCTACAGGTAATGATAACTGACTTGCGGCTCAAGAAATTTCTCTGATAAATTTAGAATGATCAAATGAAATTAGCACGAGATTACAAGGATCCATTATCAAAAGGATTTTGTTTCACACAAACTTGTACCTTCTGATGTATTCCTCAAGGCAATCTTTGCAAAATCTGTGGCCACATCTCGTTTGAATTGGCTCTTTAAGGGGTAAATGACATATCAAACATTGCAAATCTTCATCAACGGCTTCCACAAAGTCCTCGTCATAGCCTTCTGGGCGGTGTTCATCTGTTGTGGATTCCGCCATGATGAAAACTATCGGTATGCAAATCAGACAATGAGCTTTCAAAATGCACGTCGATTTGACCTTTGATACAAATTGTTGATGTAACGAATCATATAGGATCTCCTGACCACTGAACTCACGCAAAATCTGCTTTTTTCATGCAATCGTTGTAACGTGCTCCTCTTAACCAACATAAGAACACAGAACACCTTTCCAGTCAGCAAATCTGCATGTTTATTTTTATCAGTTCCTGGTTTCAGGTTTGCACATAACTTAGCTGAGCAGAATATTATCTGTTTTAACTTTTTTCGAAAAAGTTAACATAGCTCAGTGAGATGACAGCTCACAAAGGAGGACATAAGTGTCTATGCTTTTATCGATCGGTCGATGTGGACTAAAAAAGGATTTCCTAGTGCTTCTCATTAATCTAAACGTTTAATTAGGCGGAATTAAAATATCTCGTGGTTTAATATTCTTCCTCGCAGTGTCATGAACTCTTTTTTATGTGTGATATTTGAAAGGTGTTATTGGTGGATCGGAAGCGTGAGTAACCGAACTGAAAGCTGGACGCGTTGAAATTGCCGTGTTGATTTCCGCCAATCAGAAGTTTGCTACTCAGGTCGTTATGAACACTACTTAAGCAGTAGTGAAAATAAAGTCTTGAAAAGTTAGGCTGGTATCGGATTTGAACCTATGACCTCTGCGATACCGGTGCACTGCTCTACCAGCTGAGATAATGAGCCAATTAGGACTGATCATTTTTTCAGTCCCAGCCTATCGTAAGACATGTCAGTCGTTGATGTTCAGAAATTATATTGCTTACATTAGTTTCTCGTGTTCCTGTGTTCAGTCAGTCTTGTACAAGTTGAGGCTAACCTTTTCCCAAAACTGACTAGTAAACGGCACGAAAACGAGGCAAAATTTTCCATCATTCACTGTAAAATTAAAAGAGTTGATTTGGCCCCAAAAATAGGGCCAAAACAAGTGAGTCCAGTTTGGCACTCGCTTAGGGTCAATTAGGCCCCATTGAAATGGGGCTGTTTTTGGCACCAATTTTGGGGCTGAATTGACCCCGTTGATGGGGGCCAAATTGGACCATGTGAAGGGTGAATTTGAAAAATACAGGGGCCACTTTAAAATTTATAGGGGCCAAAACAGCCCCCGGAATTTCAGCCCTCTCACAAATGGCCCCTTTAAAAAGAGCCAATTCAGCTCCAATGTGGGCCACTTCAGAAGTAGAGGGCTCTTTCCTCCCCATGCTGATTTTCCCCCTTACATTCAAATAATGAAAATACACCACATACTTTATCTTTCAAACACTCATTTATTAGGTTCTAAATATTGTTTATGTAATAACCTTTTACGTTACCTGATTTTACAGTTATTACGAATCTTAATTCTGGTATAAAACAGACAAACTTTGAACATCATGTGAAAGAATATAACATACATACATATTTAACATTAATTCAACCATTTTCTAAAATAGATCTCTTCCCTAAATCAGTATACTTCTTAACAGTGCAAGCATTGCAAGAAATTACACCCAAGAGACACTTGTGAGTAAAGCTTCCCTTTTCAATGACTTAGCAAATGTGGTAATGTAAAGCAGCTTATAATTAAGACTGATTTAAAGTACAGAAAATTATCAAAATAAGACAGAGGCAACAAATGGTCCAGTTCCTGCACAAGAATATAGATCTTGTTTGATTTGTGCATATGAAAAACAAAGAGCCTTAGAGCAGCAAAGAGTATTCTTCCAGTGGATGTGAGAATACATGCACTCATATTGCTACTCTAGATATTATCAAAATATAAACTATCAGCAAGTACTACTGCAGACATTTGCCAAGTCATTGAAAATAAAGGAAACAGTGAAAAGAGTATACCTGTGCCTAATTTCAAGCAATGCTTGCTCTAAAAAAAGTCAAAATTGCCTTTGACCGATTGTAAGAAAATATAAATGAGCCAAGTAACCCAATGAGAGCATCAAGAATCTTTTCTTGTGAGAAGTGACAAAATTACACTTCCCTCTGTTACTATATTCAGGTGATTGATGTATTGAAGATCTCCAACAATTAAAATTTGTGCTGGACATAATCTCTGATTGCTTAATCAACATAAGCTACTCTATGCAATAAAAACAAGTTTTACAACCACATTAAAATCAAGCCAAAGTGCAAAAAGTGCCTGTAGCCAGTTAAGTTAAAGAATTAAAGAGGACGCATCAATTCTCTGTGACTGAGTTTTGTGCCTAAGCGCTTGTCAGACAGAAAAGTTCTGTCTGACAAGTGCTTAGGTGTGAAATTCAGAGTCACAGAGAATTGATGTGTCCTCTTTAATTCTTTAACTTATGTATACTTAGCTCTGCTACTACAGCATTGAGCGCTTTATGCCAAGGTAGACTCTACCCCCACATTTACGTGTATATATATATATATATATATATAAATATTATGAGAGGAAAAAACGACGCAACTACATATCCCGACAAGCCTGTTTCGTGAATCGCTTCACTCTTCAGGGGTTTAATGAAAGAATATTCATATGACTATCGTTTATATACTAAGAAAATTTACATAATACGCGGTAAACTTAAAAACTTAAAAGTTCAGCTGTTGCGTAGCAACGCTTTGTTTCTGTGTCGGCATGAAGATACGAGTTCGTTACGCTTATTTAGTGATGAAAGGTCGGGTCGGTAAATTATCAGGAATTTTTCTTTTAGGCAGAGGTTGCATTTTTTACTGGAACTGTTGTAGGGAGAGTTAGATGATAAGACGCGCCATGAAATAGAGTAGTCAATGTTGTCGTTCTTGAGTGTCCAGATGTGTTTGCTAAGTTCGGTAGAGTTTTTGTGCTTGGCGTGGCGGAATGATGCGGTGTGATTTCTGTGTCTTGTTTTGAAGTCGGTTTCTGTGAGTCCTATGTATGTTTCAGAGGTGTTGTTGTCGTTCCGTGTGACGGTGGCTTGATAAACGACTGAGGATTGAAGGCAGTTACCATTGAGCGGGCAGTTGTTCTTTTGTCTGCAGTTGCATGTTTTGTTGGTTCCCGTGCCGTCTTTGTTGTCTTTCGTGTAAGGTGAGTGGGACGAGTGTAAGATGGTTGAACTTGGCTGTTCTCATGATTCTGCTGTTGATCCTGTCGAGGATTCTTTTGCTGATTTTTCCTATCTCAGATTTGGTGGGGTTGATCAGCCGGCAGGTTAGTTTGTTGGCGAAGTTCGGTTTGTGGTCTTTGAGGGTTATGAATGCTTCTTTGCTAGCTGTCTTGTCTACTCTATCGTCTATACCCAGTTTCGTTGGGATGTTTTTGTACCAAAAAGCACTTGACGAAGGCGGATATCAATACACCCTCCACTACGAACCCACCACGACTGCCAAACGCAAAAACAGGCAGCGAAGCAACATCCTCTGGTACAACCCTCCATTTAGCAAGAACGTCAGCACCAATATCGGACACAAATTCCTCAGCCTAATAGACAAACATTTCCCTAAGGATCACAGCCTCCGCAAGATATTTAACCGCAACACCATTAAAATCAGTTAGAGCTGTATGAACAACACCAAACAGGTCATCGACAACCACAACAAGCGCATCTTACACTCGTCCCACTCACCTTACACGAAAGACAACAAAGACGGCACGGGAACCAACAAAACATGCAACTGCAGACAAAAGAACAACTGCCCGCTCAATGGTAACTGCCTTCAATCCTCAGTCGTTTATCAAGCCACCGTCACACGGAACGACAACAACACCTCTGAAACATACATAGGACTCACAGAAACCGACTTCAAAACAAGACACAGAAATCACACCGCATCATTCCGCCACGCCAAGCACAAAAACTCTACCGAACTTAGCAAACACATCTGGATACTCAAGAACGACAACATTGACTACTCTATTTCATGGCGCGTCTTATCATCTAACTCTCCCTACAACAGTTCCAATAAAAAATGCAACCTCTGCCTAAAAGAAAAATTCCTGATAATTTACCGACCCGACCTTTCATCACTAAATAAGCGTAACGAACTCGTATCTTCATGCCGACACAGAAACAAAGCGTTGCTACGCAACAGCTGAACTTTTAAGTTTTTAAGTTTACCGCGTATTATGTAAATTTTCTTAGTATATAAACGATAGTCATATGAATATTCTTTCATTAAACCCCTGAAGAGTGAAGCGATTCACGAAACAGGCTTGTCGGGATATGTAGTTGCGTCGTTTTTTCCTCTCATAATATTTATTCTGCTCTACTTCAACGTATTGAGCACTCTTCCACGCGAAAATCGACCTGCAGACTTCCTATATATATATATATATGTATATATATATATATATATATATATATATGTATTGTTTTTCTAACACTATAAGCTAAAACATTAGAAATGGAAGTGGAAGTTTAGCTCAATGTGTGTAATTTGTCTCCCATTCAAGACTTGAAAAACTAATGTATGACTCCCAAAATATCTGAAAAAAATCAGCTATTCTATGTGGAATATTTATCTAATGGTTTGAAAACAGGAATATTTTAAAAAATTGCAAAATCAAAAAAATTAAACAAAAAGGCAAAATGAATACAACCCCAAAGTACTTGAACCTTTGTATCTGGACTTCATTGGCAAATGGGCTCAAAAATTTTAGCTGTTCATCTTAGTACCAAAGTAGCAGTTTTTTGGACTTGTACCTCCAAAATGGTCATAACTTCATTAAATGCATGTGATGACAAACACACAAGAACAAAGGTCATGAACTTAAAAGGTGAGAGTGATTATTTTGCAACTTTTTAGTTTAAGGCAAGAGATTCAGCACCACAAAATTGTCTCTCTTCACTGCAAGCAGAAGAGGTGAAGCAATAGATTTTTAGACCATACCAATCCATTCAGTTTCCAAGTCAACTTAGTGTAGTATCCTGCTAACCATACAAGGATACTCTGCAATAATTTTTTTGCAATCCACTGTTGCTCAGAGTACTTTAGGCTGCTGATGAGATATCCCTTCTGGGTATCCAA